TCTTCCGAGCATCTGACTCACAACCTTATTTCCCCCTTTTCTTTTGGCTCTTTTTAGAGGGATGTGAGATAGGGGAGGTAATATTAGGGTTTGTATGAAAGAGCTACAATCTCCGCAAACACTTTTGGAAGTTAAAAATTTCATAGCTAAAAGAGCAGAATTGCATGAAGGTTGAGCCCTGTATTACTGCAATGCCAAGGACATCATGTCGTCCTAGAAGAGGATTAGGTCCTAAAGAAGCAACCTAAAGAGAGTACAGGCAGGGTGCTGTGGCTTCTGATTTCTTCCTCACTTCTAGAATTTTAACCCCATTCAGAGAGTTTTTGTCTTTCACTGGCATCAAGAGCTTGTAGTGACTGTTGCATAAATCTTTGCAGATCCATCAGTGAGATTATATAGATTTTTTTAACGTGTTGCAACAAGAGGCACAATGTTTAACTTTTCCCTAACATTTGCTTAAAGTAAATATTTATGACCATTTGAGATTATTGAAAAGCCTTTTTTAAAGTGATGGGCATCAATCAGCGGAGTAAAGTTTAGACATTTTTTGCATTGTGTCCAGAAACGTGTGTTGGAATGTAGATGTCTGTATCTTGGGTCTGCAGTGTGGCTGCCACCATTAAGTACTAAAGGCCCCCAAAAATTCAGATTGTGGCTTGCAGAGGTTGTTCTCTGATAGACTGTGACAAGCGTGAAGCAGGTCTGGCCCTGATGTGGCTTATGAGTTCTGGTGGCCAATGCTGGGCATCTCTTGGAGACCCCATCTGTTCCTTCCTGGGGTGAGCCTTGCTGAGCTTCTAGCAGGGAGCTTAGCTGGGGAAGGGGCCTTTCTGGCTAGCTGCGGGGCTTGGCTGCATCTTGGGAGGATTTTTTGAATGGAAGATAGTTAGAAAATATAAAACAAACACTTGGAGGCATTGGAGGGGCAGTTTTCTAGGGAAAAAAACTTTGCTTTTTAGAGATGGGGGAATAGCTAAAATGCTAGTCCTCTGTCCTGTACCATCTGAGCAATTAAATTTCTCAAATATGGACACGAAGACCTGTTTGCATCTGGCTACCTATTTTATATCTTAATGAATAGCCTACTCCACATTTCTTGACTGCCTTTCATTTAAGAATCTCAGAGTACATTATGGATATAAATGAAATGCCACTTGAGTCATCTGTAAGATATTATTAGTACTATCATATTCATCCTACTTTATAAAAGAGAAACAGAGTGGAGAGGTGTCAGAACAGAGAGAATTGCCATCTGTATTGTTTCACCTTACTACAGCTCACAGACCGCTTTGAACCAGTGTGCTAGGGAACAGTAAATGCATAATTTGTTGAAACAAATTTCCAAATATTTTACTTGGCACCTCAGTCTCTTTTATCCTGTGCAGGGGAAAGACATTTCTTCAAACCCATGCTGTGCCACCTTATGGATGTGGCTGTGAAACGGACCCAGCATCAGCAGAGGGGATGGCACACGTTTAGCATTAAACCTGCCAGGAAAGCAGGACTCTATAGGGTTCCCTAGTCACAGAATTTCTGGGGGCCCCTTGGTTCCTCCCTGGTCCCTCCCCAGACACAAAGGATTGCTGCCTGCTGGAGTAGGGCTTTTGGGGATTTATCATCAGACAGATGTGTCGTCATGGTAACCCCAGCCAGGCTTTAAATCTCCCTTGGTGCAGAGCAATGCTAAGCCTCTTAGCCACTGTCTTTCCTCCCTCCGCCTTCCTGCCCGAGCATGAGGAACTGGATGTGCCTTTCAGGGCAGCAGAGAGAAGTGGTGAGGCTTGGGACAGCTCTGGAGACAAGAAAAGAAAGTGGCACTTTCCTGTCTAACATACTGGGCGATGTGTTCAAGGTGCTGGTCCCAAATTTGATGCGGTATTGTCATCCAGCTGGGCAGACAGGCGCTTCTCTGTAGAGAGATGCGCAGCTCTTAGTCTGCGCTCCCTGATGTGTGGGATGAGTCCCTGTGTCTTATGGGGTTAAGTGAGGGAAACTTGACCTCCCATTGCCTATTCTGGATCTTGCACAGCAAAGGAGGCTTCAGCCATCAGTGCTGCTGGCATGTCACCTTTTAAAAGCACTGCCTACGTTTGTGACAGGTTCTGGAGATGTTATGTGCTGTACGTTTCTCAAAATGTTACTCTTGAGTGAGGACTGGGGTAAGAAAGTGGTAGGTATGTGGCCATGGAGGAGCTGGGATCTTTGAAATTTGTCCTAGGCTGCATTTGATATCACTGTTGTGTAGATGTGGGGAGGGGGAACCGGCAATTAAGTGCATCTCTAGGGAAAAGTCTGAAAGCTTGGTTTCTTCAGAGAGCACACTGACAGTGTCTGCAGCACTGCGCAAATAATCTGTCTGGTCTTCCCACCTTGCCGTGTGTGAGAGGTCATGGGGTGCCTGCCTTGGGAATAAAACTGCTCAGCTTCTTTGCTCCAAGATACATTTGCAGTGGATGGGTGATTGCAGCAAATTACAGAAGTCAGCATTTTTCAGTTAATGTAATGATTAGTGTTTGGTCAACACTGTTTTGAAATATTAGCGACAGCAGTGATTTCTCAGGATATCCTTAAGTGGTAGGTGTCAAGGCTGGTCCCTCCACTGAATGAGAGTCTGCATTTCTGAATGCACTCTCACCACCTAAGGAGCAGCGTGTCTAAACAATGCCTGTAGAGTGAGAGCCATGTGAAGGCAGTGTTGTAGTGCTCTTTTGTGCTCCTTGAGGCTGGGGAAGGGCAGCTGATACAGAAAGATCTGCCCATCTCCCCCTGCACAGTTTGAAAAGTCTGTATGCTTTCCCCAGTATTCTGTGCCATATTGCTTGTGTATTTGCATCTAGCCCAAGTCTGCTGTTGAGAGGTCATCACCTTCACCTTGGTGCAGCCATTGATCCATTGCTTTTTTAGAAAAGCTATTAAAATCTAAATAACTGCCTGGGCAGCGATCATCTCTGTCACCTGCCAACAGCACTCCTGCCAGGTCCCTATTTGATTGAGAACTTCTCCCATAGGGAGCTGCACCAGTGACACTTTCCCTGAAGCACGCAGGTAGCAGCAGCGCGTGCATCTCAGGGCTTCTCTCTTTTTATTATTTTCCAGCAGAAGAAATTTGACTGGAATTAGTTTGTGTCTTACTTGTCTGTGACATACTGAGCCTCTGGGGTTTTTTTGCTGTCAAGGCTGTCTGCTGTCTTACTCTGTACGCTGCTGGACCTTGGGGTTTGTGGCACAAGGCTCCTTCCCTTTGGCTATAGCAATTACTTCAGACATTTAAAGCAGACACAAGTGAGCAAGAGAGAGCCTGTAGGACATATCATGACTGTGAATGTCAGCTCCCCCAAGTTTTCTTTCCAAAATCCAGGAAACTTTCCTACTATAAAAGTATTTTGGCACTTTGAAGGGACACAAAGCGAGGGATACCTCCCTGCCATAGCAGGACTCCTTGCATGGGTAGTTCTGCAAATCCAGCTTTCCTCTCTAGATAAAAGCTCCCTCCCTTTGGATCACTTAGTTGTTGTTCATGACAGTATTGACTTCTTTTCCTTCAACTGTGCACCATGTGCTGCCCCATCCTTCTTTTCATTAACACGTAGGCTCAGAGAAAGGGCAGAGGTTCAATAGCAAAGCCCCAGTCAACATGGGAGAGGAAGGGAGTGTGGAGGTTGAACCTGGAAAGAGTAAGCGATCTGTTGCTTGGAAGTGAGATTTATTGTCCCTTTGCCTTTAGCACAGACACTCTGGGTCCTTCACATTGGAGAGCATCATCTGACTGTGGTTTTAAAGTGGCATAATTTAGTACAGCAGCACTACTTCAAGTAAAGACTCTGTGGAGCACTGGGCTACTCTGCTTCACTCCACAGGCAACAGTGCCTTAGCCCCATCCCCTGCGATACCTCTTCAGGCTGAACTGGGCACCAGTAGAGCACAGAGAAACATTACAGAGCAACTGAATATGAACATTTCTTTTTCCTTTCATTCAAACAGGCTTTACTGAGCACCCAGAATAAGCTGAGAACTTTAGTCCCAAATTTCACCTTCAACCTGGGCTTCTCAGGGAAATTCTACCATACAGGTAAGCCCCTGGCACCCCTTCATCCCAGCGCCTGCATACAGCTCCCATGTTCGTGTGTGTGTGTGTGTGTGTGTAACGTTAGAGAAAGCATGATTCTCTTGGAACGACTCAGCACTGCAGGGGATTAGCCACTGCTTTGAACCACTGAACCCCACTTCTGCCTTTTGGTTTGCATTTCTTTTTCTGTTTTCTGTAGGTACAGACGAGGAAGATGAAGGGGATGACATGCTGCTCAAACACAGGAAGGAGTTCTGGTGGTTCCCTCACATGTGGAGTCACATGCAGCCTCATCTTTTCCACAACGTCACTGTGCTGGCTGAGCAGATGAAGCTCAACAAACAGTTTGCTGTGGTAAGGGGCATCACAGTTTGTTTACTTTACAGTACTAATCTTTAAACATTCTTCTGGAATAGCTGTTCAGACCCTGGTGAACCCAGATACTAGTCTAGTAACTTAGCTGCATTTAAGAAAGGCAGTTCTGAAAGTTTAAATTGGTGTGTGGCTCCTGCTCTATTCAGGCAAGAAGCACCATTCGTGTGCCTGCCTGTGCAATGGAAAGCACTTCCTGGCACCTGCACAGACCCAGGCAGCTCCACTATGATCCAGGGTGCAAATCCCAAGGCTCTTGTTTGCTGAGGTGTGAATGGCATTACCATCCAAATCCAATTAACTTACAAAATCTGGCAGTGAGAAAGCATTTCCTTTTCCATCCTTATTCACTGTGGTTTGTGAGGAAGTCACCTGGTCGGTCGTATAAAATGCTGTGTGTGCTAACAGCCCTACTTCTGGCCTCCCCAGACAATGCTGAAGGAAGTTACTTATCTAGCAAGTCCAGGGGAAATTCTCTGGGTTTTGGCAGAGGAGAGGGAAGCCTTGAACATCCTGCATTGCTGGAACAATGTCTGTTTGATGCTTACAGACCAGAGTTGAATATACCGTACATGTTTCTCTGAAAAGAAATGTCCTCTTCACCTCTAGTTTGGTTCTTTTGATGGTAATCCCCTTGGGAATAGTAGGCTGCTGTCTTGTGTTCCCATGACACACACAGATTAGGAATGATCTTGAATTCAGAGCACAGTTGCAGCATTATAGAAACAATTTAGGCTCCTTCTTTTCCTGGTTAAATAACAGTGCAGTCTTTGGCAAAAAGAGACAAAGCACAGAGAACAGTTACACATATTTAACATAAAGCAGGCTAGCAGTGGGAAGGAGAAGGTTGTTGCTTCATTTAGGGGCTCTGGTTTTATGGTACACCACCAGGACAGAGCTGTCACCATTCATATTGTTACCAGAACCACATAGTGGAATTAAAACCCATGAAATTCAGGTATTTCCTGCCATTTTAGTATAGCTCCAGGCCCCGTATCTTCACCCTCAACAGTCTCTTGCTTCCTGTTTGCTTTTCTTTGAATTGCTGGAGACAAGACAGATCCCAGTCCTCATCTTCCTTTCCTTCTATATCAATTAAGGAAATTTTATTTTCCTCCTCCAGTGACTCAGATCTAGCCATTGTGCAAGTGAGATATGTCACTTAACAGCATTGATTAGTTTGTAGTAACCAAGGAGCCTGACCTGGGGCTTGTGAATTAATCTGATTTGTCACACCTGCAAGCTATAAGACCGTTCTTACAGCAGCTGTTACCAGTGCTGAACGTCCATGTTGACACAGAATCACCCTTCTATTTCTATAGATACATAAGACAAGAAGTACAAGCCACATTTCGGGTTTCCCAATCCAGAGAGTTTTCATGTTACTCTGTCACCTTGCTCCAACTTGGAGTCTGTTGCTAAATATGATCCTTATTAACGATATTAGTTAAACATTGAATGATCAAGCTGCATATTCTGCTTCCAGGAGCATGGGATTCCCACAGACTTGGGCTATGCTGTAGCTCCCCATCATTCTGGGGTTTATCCTGTCCACACACAACTCTATGAGGCATGGAAATCCGTTTGGAGCATCCAAGTAACGAGCACAGAGGAATACCCACACCTACGGCCTGCCCGGTACCGGCGTGGATTCATCCATAATGGAATCATGGTGAGCACAGCTGGGCGAGCAGAGCCCACTTTCCTGCCCAAGGGACAGTCTCCTAGTGACATTAGAGATGTTAATCTTAATATCACCAGTGTTTCCAAAATCATTAAGTCAAGCAAAGAGAAAAAACTTGGCTAAAGCCAGTTTCTGTGTTTCTCAGTACAATTCAGAGGTCAGTACTGAACGGAGAGCAAAACCAAGCACAACAAGACTAAACTGAGATCCCACTGACTTGTTCGCACTGTGATGAGTAAATGGTTGGGAGGAATATCAAGAGAGTCCTCTGAACCTATGTCACTTATATCCCTTACTCTTTATATTGATCCACGGAGTGCTGCTTTGACACATTCATGTGTAGATTCTGCTGCATCTGCCTCTTATCTAACTCTGCTTTTCTCTGATATTGCTAGGTTCTGCCTCGACAGACCTGTGGTCTTTTTACTCACACTATCTTCTATAATGAATATCCTGGTGGCTCAAAGGAGTTGGACAAGAGCATTCGTGGTGGTGAACTCTTCCTGACGGTGCTTCTGAACCCAGTAAGCTCATCTAGAAGGGGAATCAGATCGGTGCACGGGTGTCTCAGCTTCATGCCTGATGTGGAAAAGGACTAGATCCTATGGGAGATGGAGTATAACCACCCATCATGGTGTGGTTATCTCCAGTGTGATGCTAAGGAGATGTGAAAAAGAGGGCTAAGGAAGTACTTGCTAGTTAATGTTGCTTTGCTTTACACACTGCCAAGGAAGCATCAGTATTGAGTGTTGACAAGTGCAACACTCCACAGATAGAAACTAGGCAGGGTGACATGCTGAGCGTGGCCCAGTGTGGAGTGAACGTTACCTAGGCTGCTGCAAATTCATGGACCGGAAGTGAAATGTGCATTAGCTCCTTCTGTTCCACACACATCTGCCCCTGTTGGTTTCTCCCCTGGCTCACTGATGAGTTTTGTTCAGAATAATTGCTTTCTCTGGGCTTTTGTTATGGAGTGTTCTCCCCTTTCTTTCAATATGTATACGCTTAAAACAATTTCTGCATGCTTTTTTTGGTGAAGTAGCTGTTGCCCTAAGGCATTTTTGGGAGATCTGGGTCTAACGCAAGTGTTCCTTTTTCTCTTTCACTACTTGACAGTTCTGTCAAGCCACGAAGTTAAGGCAGTACCTTCAACACCCTGCAGTCTGTTCCCAGCTCTTAGCCATGGATGGCAAATCACATGAGTTTCTTACTTCCCATTGAAGCTGGGAAGATGTGCTAGGTGGCAAGAGACACAAATAGAAGCAGTCATTTTTAGAAATTCCTGAATGGATAGAATTAGGAGATGAAGCTTTGTAGCCCTCTCTAACCACAGATCACACTCCCTCGCATTCCGGCTTCTTGGCTGCAGCAAGAAGACATGCTGCTACTCTTGATTGTACAGTAACTTTCTCAGTTCCCCACCTGAATTTCTTTCTTACTAAAGCTGATTTGGCACATGTTGTCCATTCAGAGAAAGGGAGGACATTGCCCTGCCAGGTTTAGATAGTGATTTTAGAATGTCTACCTCTATAGCCACTCCTGAATATAATGATGTTTAATCTCTTCTTTTTTCACAACTTCCAAATTTCTACCTTCTTACTTCTCCTTTACACATCTTTTCCACCAGTGCATGAGTATGGGCAAAAAGTCATGCAAGCAGATCTGAGAGAAAGTAGGTTGTTTCTGACTAGCTTCCTAGGTGGGAACCCTGGCATACTGGTCCCAGTCACTTGTTTGTGGGATTTGTCATGTAACATCAGTGGCTCTGCTCACTGTGATACTTTCTTTCATTCCCTCCTTCTTTTGCATCTTGATTGCAGGGTTGAATATGCAGCTTTAGCCACTTTTGGTTGGGGCTGTAGAGGCTCAGTGAATCAGAAAACCAAGTTTTTTCCCTCAATGAGCTTAATTTTTTCTTGTCTCTTGCTTTTCCTAGTGTTTAGTGCCTCTCTACTCCTAGAATTAGAACTGTGATAGTGAAAAGACCCTCACAATGTGTTCTGGGTGCATCACACAAACAGGCTGTAGTTTACAAACGGGCCCTGTGTTTCGGAAGGTTAGCCTGTGACCAGCTCTGGCTTGATCTATGATCTGCAGAAAGTATGGGTCTATAACAGCCCTAGCTAAAAAGCTGGAGGGGTTCATACTTCCAGGTCTGGAAGCCAACCTTCCATCCCCGAGGTCTGGAAGCCAGCCTTCTGTCCATGTCGCCTGAGACAGAATTGTTATCTTTACACACAACAACCAAATCTACCTGCTTAATAAAAGTCTGCAGTAAGGAGAAGGCTGTTCTTTGCAATTACATATGGAGTGATTGGTCAGGTGGAAACCAACTGCTTTCTTCTCTGTGACCATTGCTTTTCTGGGCTTCTCTTCCCGTATGTTGGGGGAATTCCACCTTGTCCCACTCCGTAATTGTCAGACCTTAAAGAATGCCTGCAGAAATAGCCACTGTGAAACTTAAGAGCTCAAGGTTTCTCTTGGAAAACCAGTTGCCAGACTGTAATCCAGAGATCATCGCTGGTAGGAGGCTGTGCCAAGGAATTTATAGAAACATAGTTTCTAGAGCTATCCGTTAAAATTTGCTGATAAGCATGTGCTGGTTGAAAAAGCTGGCGGTGATCTGTGATCCAAAAAGTTTGGGAAGACTCTGCTCTGGTACAGGATGAGCTTATTTGCCAATTTACTGTTGGCTCTTTGTGGTGACTTTTAAAACTCTTTCAGGCACCTTCAGATGCTTCCGATGTTTACACTTCGGCTTCCTTTTGGCAATGGAGCATTTCTCTCTCTGTCAGCAGCGGAATACTGTGCTCTAAGCTCCTCTTCATCGCTCGTGTTTGCATAGTGACTCAGACCCTTGCATTCCTCCCCGTGCTGATAGAGCCATCTCACAGACCTGATAGAAACCTGGCCAGCCCCGTAGCCCCAGCAGTGATCCGGAGCGGACTTGGACCAGGCTCTTTCAGTCCTTTTTGGTGCTTCCAGCTCCCTTTGAGTAGATATACACATGCAGGAGTCTCCAAGCCTGCATGCGTATGATTAACTCCACAGTGCAAACAGAAGATGTTTGATCTTCTGACTAGTGAACAAGGTCTGATGTCAGGAAGGAGAATAGCTGTTGATGTGCAGTGGACAGGCTGCCATGTGCCCAGTCGCTATTTCCCAGAAGCAAAGGGCATCTTTACGATCACTTCTCACAGACACTTTTGCTTACGCTACGCAAGCAGGTTACTGCTGTGCCCACAGCTGCTTGTTACGTATTGCAAGGATGCTCATACCCTCCTGTTTTCTATATTCTAGGCTCTCTGTGACCTTTCCTCATCTTTCCTTAGTGTGAAGGAAGGGAAACCATGGCATGCTGACAGTGGAAGGGAGGAGGAGAGGAGGGAGGTGTTATTACCAAGCCAGTCCCCCGGGGTCACTGGGTGTGGATGGGAGGGAGGGAGAGATGGGACTTGAGTGTAGCTTATGTCAGAAGTAGTGCTCAGAGCTGTTTTGGCAGCATTAGCTGTGATGAGGCAGAGCAAGCTGCCAGGCCTTGTTAAACAGTGCGTGTGTGTTACAGGACGTGACTGCACGCTCAGAAGTACAGGGAAATAGATCTTTGGTTGGGCTTGGCTTGTCGTCTTCTAAATCCAGTTGCTTGGGGACTGTTTGCAGTTGACAGCATTACCTGTGTGAGCCATTTTACCAAATGTAGTCAGTCTTGAGACACAGTTGCTCACCTAGATCACATGCAGGCTTTTTTTATTCTGGAAATCTTGAAGGGGCCCCAGGTGATGACCTGTGTCCTCCCTGCTGCAGTACTTGGTTTATGCCAGTGAGCCAGATGCTTCATGCAGCAAATTTTCCCTCTAAATGTTTCACTAGCAAGTCAAAGGGATGAGCCACCCTTTACTGTCACACAACCTTCCTGGTGTCTCCCAGAAACAGGCAAAATACAACATGAGACGCATCCTTTTGCCGCCTTACATGCTCCATGGCCATGGCCCTACAGTTACACAGAAGATCTTTCTGTCCTTTGCTCTGTGTTGTATTTAGCACATCCTTTTTACACAACAGCACCAAGTGCACGCTGCTCTTTGAAGTGTAGGTGCCAGAGCCTGTCTGGCAGGGCCTCTCTGTCAGCTCAGTAGGAAACCAGAAGTGAAAAACTCACAGGCAGACAAATGTGATAAATCTTTAACTCCGGTTACTTTCCATGTGTCTCAGAGTCCTACCACTGTTTTCTGTTGCCTACCCAAAGACCCTGGAGCGTGAGCACCTTGTGGACAGGATTACATTCATTTCACAGTGTCTTGGGGATGGCTCAGGCACAAAGAGCTACCCTCTATCAGTACCTCTCGTCGCACTGACACCGGTCCATGGTGACACTGGATGGAAAACTGAATTCAGACCTCCTGAGTGCCAGCAAATGTCTTCATCCCAAGACCATCTGTCTCCCACTTCCCCCTTTTGCTCTTCCCCTACTGTGAGTGGGAAAGCCATTCCTGCCCCCTGCCAGGGAAGCCTGTTGTTGTCTGCTTACCTTGCCTGGCATCGTCAGGATTCAGTCCTGAATTGTGCAGCAATGGGTGCCCCTGAAAGCGTTCAAAAAACAGGTAGATGTGGCACTTCGGGACATGGTTTAGTCTAGTCTAGTCTACCCTTAATAGGTTTAGTGTGGACTTGGTAATGTTACGTTAATGGTTGGACTGCATGATCTTAAAGGTCTTTTCCAACCTAAACAATTCTATGATTCTATTCTATGATTCTGCTGTGACTGAAGTCTCTTCCCCTCCCTGCACTAGCAGACACTGGGCGGGGAGTGCTAAATCATCACGTAGTCATTCTTCCACTGGCCTTGGTGTTCTGCTTTTGTTTTGCTAACTTATAGCCATGGTGTGGTTTGTGTCTGGCAAAGTGCCGTTGTGCTACAGGCACTGGATGCCCAGTTCCGTGGGACCTGTCAAAGCCACACACCAGAGCCAAACTGACAGGAGTCTTTTGCACTCTTTC